AAAATGAGCAAGAGGAGAGAAAAGCACAAATATAAAATAGTCAATGAGGAAGCAGCAGTACAAGTGAAAGAGCCAAGACAGCTCCCAATTTGCATGGGGGAAGTGGGGTCCCAGCAAACGATGGACTAGGACCCCAAATTTGTCTCAACACACACAGCTGCAGGGCTCTAGCCTGTGGCATATTTTCCAAGGCCAGGGAGTGCCACACTGTGAACGTGGAGGCTTTGATGTTTTCTGTGCCATTTTCAAAATAAAGCTTCATTTATTCCAGGAGAGCAAGCAGTAGATTTGATTTGGAAACAGCTTGTGAAGTCAAATCTGTCTGTGAAATAACAGTATGCAGTGTAGTTATAGCTGGATCAATCCTAGGATATTAGAGACAAGGTGGCTGAGGTAATAACTTTATTGGACCAATTGCAGTTGGAGAGAGGAATGAGCTTGAGCCACACAGAGCTCTTTGGGTCTCGGAAAGGTACTCCAAGCATCACGACTAAGTGGACGTAGCTGTGACACCCTGAAGCTGTGCATTAAGGATGTTAAGAGCCGGGTAACTGGATAATCATGTAGTCGATACAATTTGTATCCACTACATGATTAGTTGATAAGCGAAGATGCTCAGAAGGAGCCTCCCCACTGTGGCTCTGCAGTTTAAATGTAGTAAGAGATGGGCACGCAGGCAGTCAGGCTCTTACTACATTTAACTGCAAAGCTGCAGCAGGGGTAGCTCCTGGGCCATGCTTGCTCAGTCCTGGCTTGTGGCCATCCAGCATCCCCTGTCCGTGGGGATTCCTAGCAGGGAGTTGGGACCTCTGCAGACAGGGGCTGCTGCGGGAGCAGCCTTCCTTGGCCCCCCTGCACTGCTGCCTCTGATAAGAGGCAGCAGCATGGGGGAGGAGAGAAGCAGCATCACGGAGACAGTGCTGGGGGGGAACCAGCATTTAAGCTGGCTCCCCCCAGTACTGGCTCCTGCTCCCATCTCCCCCGCCCCCAGAAGCCTCTGATAGAGGCAGCAAGGTGGGGGGAGGGAGGAGAAATGCAAGTAGTCGACTTGACTGCTCTTTTATATCCCTATTGTGTGAGGCTCACCACTACAAGTTGATGCAATTGAAGACATTAGATCATCCATCTGGTCTCTGAAATAATTACCCCATTTTAATTTTTCCTATGAATTACAAGGAGATAATTGTTCCACACAGGCCTTCTGTGTCCGCTTTAGTTCTGCCTCTCTTACTGATCCCACTTGTACCTCCTTGAGATCCTGTCTCTTCAGCATTGCAAAGACTCAGGGCTTGTCCTTACTATGCTGTGGCTCAACACTACAGTGATCAATTGATCTCTGAGTACTCTCCTCTCGACTCCAGTACTCCACCAGGATGAGGAGAATAGCTGAAGTCAATGGGAGAGCCTCACTGCCAACCTTGCTGTGTGGAGGATGCTGCGGTAAGTAGGTCAACTTCAGTTACACTATTTGCATAGCTGAAGCTGTGTAGATTGGATTGTGAGTGAATGAGTGAGTGAGAAGAAAAAACCAGGCTTAAGCTGTGTGCCTGCACTCATTTTCCTGGTAACTGATAGGAAGTATAACAGAAACAGCCACAGTCAGGCAAGCACAAGGGGAAAATGGATGTAAAGGGGTCAGTAAAGGGTGGTGAATAACAGTTTTCCCTCCCATGCTGGTTTTTTTTTGCTGTCTTCTTCCAATGCCTAACCCTACCCCACTTTTACAACCCCAGCATTACTCTTAAAAAACCCAAAATCTCAGCAGGCCATAAGCTCCTCTACCCTCAATAGCTAATGAATAACTTACTATACAAATACTTACGGTTTATGGCTTGCTGTGTCCCACCCTGCATAAGTGCTCCTCCTGGTGACAGGGCTGTGATGATGCTAGTAGCAGCACCACTTGAAAGAACCTTTATAATAATAATAATAATAATAATAATAATAATAATAAAAGTCCTTTGGTATCATTTTCCCAGTGCCTTGCTTTAAAACATTTTGGAAAAATGAATCTTAAAAGTGAAATACACTGGCTGAGATACATCAGCCAGGACATTAGAGATCTTAGACTGAAATAACTTAGAATGTTGCAAGTATAAAAGTCATCTGCCTTTTGATGCGATGGGGAACTGGACAAGTAGTTCTTACAGGCTGGGTTAGACCTCCCCGGTCTGGAACACTTGGGATCTGATCAGTCCTGGATCAAGGAGTTTGTCAGACCAGGGGAGGTCAGTACTCCCCTGCTGGCTGCCCCACTCCTGGGCTCCCTGCTGCTGGCACCCGTAATGTTAGCCCAACACAGAGCCCCACCCTGCTGCCTACCCACTGCCTCAGGGTTCCCAGGAGGGACTGCTTGGTCTCTGCCGGCCTTGCTGCTGCAGTGTGTTCCCAGGTGGGACGAGGGCTGCCTCACTGCTGCTGGGGATTCTGGCTGCCCTCCTCCACCAGCTGCACATTAGTCAGGGGGTTCCCTGGCAGAGGCTGCCCAGTCACCCCAGCCCCACTGCCACCAGGGGTTTGCTGGGATTCCTGGCCCGGACCACCTGGCCACAGGCAGCCCCACTGAGCCAGGGGTTCCCCAGCTGAGGGTGGGACTCCCTGGTCACCTGGTCCTGCTACCATCAGGGGTTCCCCGGCTGAAGCAGGAGCTCCTTGGCTTCCGCCTGGCCCTGGTACTACTGGGGGTTCCCTGGTCAGAGTGGGGGCTCCCCAGCCCCTGCTCTGCTGTCACCTCCTCCAGGTTCTCTGGTCCAGCAACTTCTGTGGCTTTCCCTGGTCAGAGTGGGGGCTCCCCAGCCCCTGCGCTGCTGTCACCTCCTCCAGGCTCTCTGGTCCAGCAACTTCTGTGGCCCTGCTAGACCACGGATGTTGCCGGACCAGAGAGTCTCCGATTTGGGCGGTTTTGCTAGACCACGGATGTTGCCGGACCAGAGAGTCTCCGATTTGGGTGGTTCAACCTGTACTAAGCATCAACTCATGTTATTTGTGGAAATTCCAGAAATCACGATGGGAACATCGACCGCACCTATCCACCAGTATTGCTCTCAAATTGAAGTCTTTACTGTGAGTTAACATGCGCATGATATTGCATAACTGGTACATATGTAAGTAAAGAACACCAATACTGGACTTTTTATTTTACTAGAACTATGGGGTACAAACAATTGTGGCAATTTAATTAGGGCCAAATGTAAATTTGCCCATGCAAGGAAAGCTAAGAAAACCTGCTATCCCAGCCAACCTGTGGGCACAGCACACATGCAGCCATCTGGCAACCTCCTACATGCGCTCTCAGGGTAAAGCAGATCCACTTAGTCACAAATTCATTGGCTGTGACCTTGAACTGCCTTTGAACAACACATTTTGCATGCACAAAGTAAGGGCCACCAGAGATAGCTCCACTTCCAGCCTCACGTTATGGTGCTAAGTCTCCTCATGCGGCTTTCCATTCTACCGTGTGCAGGACAGCAACACTGATTCCACTATCTTTGGAGCATCTTCACAGCCGTGGGAGGACTACAGAATCTGCCCATTAATACTAGCAAATCTGTAGTTACTTGTCTTAAATGTTACAGCTTCAGAGAAGAGCTGAAGCAAAATTGTTAAAACAATGCTCTGAAGCTTAATTCAGGTAAATTATGAGTTGTTCTGATTAAAGACTTCACTTCTAAAACAATTTCCCACATTATGCAATTTAATACAAAAAGAATCAGGTTCATCTTGAGGAACAAAACCGCAAAAGTACCATCATTCCAGTATGTCAAGAAATATATAGACAAAGTTAATATGACACTCACTCTCTGATATTAAGGAGGGAATTTTACTTTTTGGTAGTTGAATTAAAATGATCTTTTCCTACCTGAGTTAATCTGGGTACATAGGCATCCATTTCTTGTCTAATACTATGAAAAGAGCTAATAATATCCTGACTGGTTGCATATTGCTGTGACTGAATTGGAGTTGGACCATGATAATACCTATGGGAAGAGAGAAAGGAAAAAACCTCAAGAATATTACAGAGCAAAATGTTAATTGCAAAAACTTAATTCCCAGTAGACTAAGATTTATGTAGCAGTTGCACTTTTCAGCTTTTAGGTGTTGTACAAACTTGGCTGTTGGCCTCTAATAAAAAAAGAAAATCAGAGGTTTGTTTGGATTTTTTTTTTAAATAGGTAACTAAGATTCCAAATTTAACCTACAGAAAATCAGAGGTTTGTTTGGTTTTTTTTTTTTTTTTAAATAGGTAAGATTCCAAATTTCACCTACAGCTTTTCCCATGTGTGACCTAAGCTAAGCTTTTCCCATGTGTGACAGCAAAATGAAAAGGGATATGTCATTCTTTATTTAATATGCAGCTCTACACATAAAACACTGCATTGGCATAACAGCAGACTTTTCCTATTAGCATAATTAGTCCATATCTGAGAGAGACAGTTGCTATGTTGATAGGAGAAGCTTTCCCATTGACAAAATGCAGTCTACAGGGGATGTGTGTGTCGGGGGGGAAGGGAGGGAGGGAAGGTTAGGATGGTTTAACTGTAACTCAGTGGCATGGATTTTGCACAGCCCTGAACAGTGCAGTTCTACCGCCATACGTCTGTAGCATAAACCTGGTCTTTATGATTGAAGACTTAATGACATTAAGCCTTTAAACCTCTTTTTAAAGCTTCAATCAACACTGGCAGTACTAGATGTCACATTGTCAGGATTCAGGTGAATGGGGCATGTCACCCCACTCAGGACTAGTATTTCACAAAGAACACTACAACCATTGGTACACATTTGGAAGGTTATTTTTGCAAATGTTGGGAGATGTAATGTTTTTCAAACTGAAAGCTTATGTTTCGGAAGACAAAAGGGAAATCATCACAAAAGAAGTGATGTAAAATCTTGTGCAGAGAATGCAAGTATTTCTAAATGCATCATACTAATAGAAATGCTTGCAAGCTGTTTCTGGCCAGGTCTACACTAATAGAGAACATCGAGGCAAGATACATAACTCCAGCTATGTAATTAACCTTGTTTCGTGTTTCCCCACAGCAGAAGATCGACAGGTGCAAATGCACAAGCAGGAGTACTGGCTGCCAGCAAGGGCACCCTCTGAGTTTGACTTAGCGAGTCTTAACCAGACTTGCTAAATCAAACTCCAGAAGATCAATAGTGGCACTGTCAATCTTCTGTCCAGTGAAGACAAGATCTTAGAGTGGATTAGAGCGGTTTAACAATGTTAGACCTTCATACTCAGACTAAAATTACGGCTCTTACGGCAACAGTTTGTAAATACTTACTAAATTCACAAAAGTCCTCCTGAACTAAAGATGCAGTTTTGAAAATGGTAACTACTTGAAAAAAAGCCATGTAAAACAAAGCAGATTAGGAACATATTGTTCTGAACAGACCAGAAAGAGATTTATATTCATTTTAATATGTTGAAACATCCAAAGAACTATTGTTTTCTTTTATCCATTGAACTTACCGATCAGATTTCTTTAGATTTAGTGCAATAGTTTTAATGCTATTATTCTTTCCTAAATCTTCATATTCAATAGCCTCCTGTAGCTTCACCTGCAATATAATAAGACAACTAAAAATCAAATGCTTATGGTTGCACATATGTAGACTCTGCTTTTTTCCCTTGTCCAGAGTCTCCTGCTAAAAGAATGGGGGAAAAGGTGAAAAAAGCCCAAGTCACTCAGATTCTTTGGTCTAGCAGTGCATCACCCAGTGTATCACCTCAAAAGGAGAGGTGCATACGTAGCTCTGGCCAACTAACATGGTTTTCAGTGATGCTGGCTATAGAGGTTGCAAGATCCCTATACAATTTCCATAGCATGGGGGGAGGCTCCTTCCTCTCATAACACCCGCAGCCTGTGGCAATATCTCTTTGCCACAAGAGGGTTACCTCCACATAGGTAGGTCTTCCTCCATGATAGACTGTTGGCCCTGTGGTTAAGATTCCCTCAGAAGCATAGCACAAGGCGGCCACACCCTGTGCTGTGGTCTCAGCCAGCATCTCCCACCAAATCCTGAAGCCCTTTACCCAGACAGTTTTAATTTTACAAGCGACAACCATTTCTGGATATCCAAGCTGACATCTTAAAGGATTTAGGTCTTCAGAGGCCAAATAGTGAGCACTTTCTGAAAGTCAGGCCCCTTTAACGGTTGAAAACTGGGCACCCAAAACTCAAGACACTCTATACCACTGGTCAGTTTTGAAAATGTTAAGATATAATTACAGAACAGAGTCAATGATTGTGTGAAAATGTCAGAATACAGCTGGGTGCTTAAAAGCATTGGAAGTCACATGCTAGAAATAATTTTACAAAAGGATTTTTTTTAATTAAAGCACAGAGACCAAGAAAATGAAAATGTTTGCAAGAATTCCAAAATCATTGTCTTGTTATACAATTTTTAAATGACAATTGAGAAATAAACAGGGAGTACAAAGGATTGTTTATGTGCATATGTATTTAAGAAAAAAGGTTAATATTTTTAGTGGAGGAATGTAATCAGAGTCATTGCAGGTATGCAGCTAAATAAGGTGCACATTTGGGACAGAAAATATTAAGGAGCATTGACAGTAATGCAGTTAAATGATACAGCGAAAGTGGTTTTAGAAATCTCTTTTCTTCATCATTAAGTACAGAGAGATTTTCCTTTAATCCTATTATTCATTCCCACTCAGAACTGCTGTCTACAATAAAGTCAGAACTATTGACTGCCACAAAAGTTACAATGGGTATTTTCTAAAAATATTTGCTATGTGTGTGGATTTCAAGTAATTTTTTGGGGTTGAGAAGTGTACGTGGAAGGGTTAAGTCACTGGAATTTTCCTCAGCTTTTTGGATGCAGTCATTGAAAACATTCCATCATCTTAACCATTTTTACATAATTCCAGTATCAAATACAGAAGCTCCCATGGAAAAATTTTAAGAGAAACACTACCGTTGCCTCATTTCTGTGCCCCAATCAGCTGAAAATAAGTTTCAAATTTGATTGATTCTGATGCAAGGTCAACCCTTTACGTTGAAACATCAAATTAGCATTCTTCTTACGCATAAGTAATAAGTGTACATTCCTTTTGCAATATATTAATTCCATCGACTACTAATATCCTAATTCTCTGCCTGAATGTTGCCCCAAAGGTGCGTGGGCACTTAGGAGTGGTAATGTATAATTACAACCACACACAATGAAAGGAACATACCTTTTAAGATTTGTTACAAATACACGGGGAAAAATGTTAATGTTCGTTCAGTGAAAGAAAAAAAGATTAACGGGTAGATTGTACTATCAATTTTACAAGTTATTTGTATTTAAATAAAGAGCTCTGTGTCAACAGCATGTTTATCTCAAGGCCATATGTGAGCACTGAGAGTACGTTAGAATTGAAAATTCTCAGTTTTGTTCTCGGTATCTTAGATTTCCATACACTATATTTATGGATGCTTTTCCCATCTTTGTCACTTCCTTCTTGAAGTCTCTGTTGGCCATTATGGTGCTGCCCAAGAATTCTATTCATATCAATCTTCATACTTTTAATACAGTAATTCCTCATTTAACACTATAGATAAGTTTCAGAAAATGATCGTGTTAAGTGAAAACGTATTATGGGGGGGGTCAGTTTTCCCATTGAAAATAATGGAAAAAGTGGGGGTTGTGTTTCAAGCGGTGGTGTTGGTTAGGACTGGGACATAAGGTTGGGGAAGAAAGGGGACTGGGTTATAGCAGGGAGGGGAGGTGTTTGGCTCTGGGGGAAGGGAAGGGGAGGGGAGGAGGATTGGGTTGGGAGTATGCCCGTGACGGGTCTGTTGGGATCCGCACCGTGTCCAGCGAGGGGGGGGTTGGGAATATGCCCGTGACGGGTCTGTTGGGACCCGCACCGTGTCCAGCGAGGGGATGGTCACCAGGGATCCGTGCGGTGAGCAGCGAACCCTCTGCCACTTTGCAGGGAGGCGGGGGAAGCCCTACGCAGCCGCTGGTGACAGGCTGGCAGGGGAAACCCAGCCGTCGGTCTGCAAGTGGGGGCAAAGGAGAGGGGGCAAAGCGTCCGGCAAGGGGGAGTCAGAGGGGAATGGCGCGGCGAGTGGCGAACCCTCCACTGCTTTGCAGGGAGGAGGGGGAAGCCCCGCGCAGCCGCCGGCAACAGGCCGGCTGGGGAAATTGTGTCATTCCGGGGACGGTCATGTAATTCAAAAAACGTTCCCTAAAAAAAACAAAAAAAAATAAATAAAAAAACAAAAATTGTGCTATCGCAAAAACGTGTTAAGTGGGCATATGTTAAATGAGGAATTACTGTACTTTAAATAATGCTTTATGCAGCTGTTGACAGTATTCTACTTCAGTTGGAACTGCACTAGCAAACTCACTTTGTTCATACCTTTTTTATTGGTGGCTGAAAGAAATCTGAATCCCTGGAATTTCCATCCATACTGCTGGTCTCACTGGAGTGATCATTTTGTGCTTCTCTTAAAATAAAAACACAGTACATTAAAGGAAGTGACAGCAAGTCATTTTGTAAGAGACTGACATTTAGACTAAGGACATGTAGTTGGTTAATCTGATTCAAAATATATTGAATTCCAAATTATTTCTTTCAAAAAGGTTTGCACTTAAATGGTGGACATGTGCGTCACTCTAAAAAGGATCGGGATCTTGTCCTTAATGGGTATCTCTGTGCAAAGAAAAAAAAAGCGTATTCTATTTAAATGAAAACAAATAAGTCATATGAGCAAAAATAGAAGCATTAAAGGGAAAAATATTCCTCCTAAAGAACAGACTGAATACGTTGACTATAGTTGGGTGAGTTTTGCAGAATTCCAGTGGTGAATCCTGCCTAGGCTGTACAGCAGCCACTACTGTAACAGACCTGTAACTGAGCCATTTAGGTTTAGCTGCCCTGGCTCTCCAGTCCCATGTCTCCTGAGCATTGGAGTACAAGAAGCCCCTACAAGCTATGCTCCATATGCAGGTGGTATAAATTGGATATGAGATCCTTGCATCCAATCTATCCATCCCTCTGTATGGCAAAAGCCAGACCAGCTTCGCTGCACTCATGGCCTTCTAGGTCTTAATTTGGGCTATAGTTTGGGCAAGGTTCTCAGTTGTCAAATATTCTCTGAGGTGACTCAGTCAAGATACAATTTTCTTTTAATAAAACATGAAAAAAATCCATGTTTGAGACACAATACAGAAGAGGAATATATATTTCCAAACTGCAATATTTTATACTACCTTATGCAAAAATAACTTTAGTTTTGGTGATTGGTGAGGTCTGATACATTGAAAGGATTTTAAAAGTCAAAACAGAATCTATGTGATCAGATTTGTTTTTCAGATCATAATATTCCACAAGCTGCAAGTTAACATTTGTAAAATGTTCAAGTTTGAGTTAGTCTCCAGTTCTGAGAGCTCCTTCCCATGTTGGAACTTACTGTTTTCTGAGCCCAGCTGCAAGGACCATGGCACTGTGATGATTAAAGCGTTTTATAATGGCAGCATTGCTACTCTCCTTGAAGGACTTTGAGGAGTTTGATGTGGACGGCACAGAGGAAACACCATAACCCTGCAGGTAAAGTAATGAATAGTTTGTTAAGGTTATTCTAAATTAAATGCTATATATGGGGCACAAATCATTTGCCTGTTTAAACTAGTGTAAATGGTGGATTCTCTGTAACTTCAAGTCCTTAAGCCATTTGAGCACTTTAGTAATGCAACCGGAGGTCAGGAGACTATTACAAGAGTGAGCAGGTGAGGTTCTGTGATCTGCAATGTGCAGGAGGTCCAACTAGATGGTCATGTTGGACCCTTCAGTCTTTAAAGTCTGAGTCAAAGAAGTGAGACCATTTCCTATTTTCCATTAGATCAGATATGTAGCAGGAATTCCGCATTTCCTGGACTTTACTGAATGAACAGCACAGCAGTGTGATCTAGAGGAATATATATAGTGTCCAGAATCCTTAGGGGTCTTAATGTTTGCTCTATTGATTACTTACACCATGGCCTCTTTCCTTCTCCACTTCAGTTTCCCCATTTGTATACTGGGGATAGTACTTCCCAACCTCAGAGGGATGTTGACAGGATTAATGTTTGTTTAGCACTTTGAATACAAACCTCTCTACTCATGCCAATTTATTTTTACACTGTTAGCTGCGAATATTACATTCATAGATGTTTAGAGAAATTCAGCATGCCAAGGACTACTAGGTTTTCAGACTCAGATCATTAATACAAAGAGGAGAAATTCACTGACTAATTAGCATTTGGGCAGTAGAAAGTTTGTATTTTAATACTGTTTGTAATCTTTTTAAAGCTAATAAGGTGATCAAGTTAAATTGTATATAGATGTTTTTAAACACTCTCTGTACTTACCTCATCTAATGATTTATCCTCCAAGGCCGTTAAATCCAGAAGAGGATTTTTCACCCCTTGAGACACCATTGTTTTTAACCCTATGAGGAGGAAAAAAAAACAAAAAACAGTGTTCTCTATCAGAGCAGTATCTGAGAACATCTGTCAACACTCAGGGTTGATAAAACATATGCCTCAAGTTATCTGGATGTCACCACCTTTATATGATTTGGTAATTTTAATCACACAATAGAGTATGGCACAGATTAATATTAGACACCAACGTGTGCAAGAAACGTATTTCTAAAAACAACAACACTATCTGCTGTCAAATTTGAACTTGTATTTAAATAACCAACATCTAAGATATCTGGTACATTTTGCATTATATAGGTGTGTGGTGACTTGCGAACTGAACACTACAGGTATCAAAAAAAAGAAGGCTTTGTCTTTTAGTATATAGGTATCTCTAAAAACAATGAATTTTTTTAATCCTTTGATATGTTCCATGGTTGGGGAAAAAGGTAGTGTGAGAAGCTTTTGCATGTGTCCAAGTGCTATTATGTTCAATAGCTTTCTGCGCTTTAGTACATGTCATTAAAAAGTCAGGTTTTGGTCTGTGTTTTTTAAAATTATTGCAGGAATTATTCTAACTAGTTCCAGATACTTCCTATGAACTTCCACCTACAATTCTGAATATTTTTTAGTAATTCAACAGTGGTACTGCATTCAATATTGGTTATTATATTTAATCTTTAAGTAGATATGACTTCCAGTTCCTTGTTCTAACTACTACTGACTATTTGTGTTCTGTTTCCAGTACTGCCACTGTCTTGCTGTGTGGTCTTTGGTAAAACACTTAACTAACTTTACCCATCTCATGATACTGTATGGCTTTTGTTTGTTTTTGCTTTGGAGTTGTCAGATGAAGGACATTAGAATGCAAAGCATTCATTTGTATATTAAAGAGTCTAGTCTTCTCTCCATACATGTGTGTATAACTCCCAGATTATTCACAAGCATCAAAGGAAGAAGACATTTTCAGAATATAACTGAGGGTTTTTCACCTTGAGGTCATTGTTTCAAACTAGAAATGTTAAATTGCGAGTAACTGACTAATCAAATAGTTGATGCATTTTGCATCAACTATTTGATTAACTGATAGGGCACCACAGCCTTTGGCGAAAGTGCTGTGTGGAGCCTGGGGTCAACTGGGGACTCCCCCGCTGACCCCGGGCTCCATGCAGCGCTGCCACGGTGAAACACAACATGCATCCTGGGGACAACCCAGCTGGCCCTGGGGCTGCATGCAGAATTTCAAAGCAGCAGTGCCACATGGAGCCCGGGCTCTGACCCCAGGCTCCACATGGTGCTGCTGCTTGGAAGTACCCCCCTTTCTGCCTCCTGCTGATCGTCAGATAGTTGACTAGTCCTTCACATCCCTATTTCAAACATGGCCCAGAACTACGATGGTCAATAAATGTAGAAATATTCAAGTAGCCCGTAAAAGAAATCAATCTTAAATCAGTTCTCTAGAGAACTGATTTATCATAAAAGCCACATCTGTCACAAGTCTCAGCAAAGACATCACAGAATGATTAGTTATGTGAACAAAACTATGCCCTATTATCAGAGATACTGTTAAGGCCCCTTGGTTGTATATTATGAGGAAGCTTTCACTGATATTATCCATGCTGCATTCATTTTGCAAAAAGAAAAAGGAGTTGCTAGTGCTGGCATCTTTTAAAGCACTAATTTGTTTTTAAGCACTTTAGTATGGAACCTAAAAAGTCTTCTATAATCAGATACTGTAACTATAGTGGGTCAAACATTCAGTCTGATCAACACCATTCAAAGATTACATAATAGGTCTTGGCTCCTAACATCTTACAGCATTTATCAAATAATAAACAAATACCTAAGGGTATGTCTACACTACAGCGCTAATTCGAACTAGGTTTTTAGTCTGGATCCGTTAGTTCGAATTAACTTTGATAGGCGCTACACTAGCGCTCCGCTAGTTCGAACTTCATTCGAACTAGCGGAGCGCTTAGTTCGAACTAGGTAAACCTCATTGTACGAGGACTAAGCCTAGTTCGAACTTACTAGTTCGAATTAAGGGATGTGTAGCCCCTTAATTCGAACTAGTGGGAGGCTAGCGCTCCCCAGCTTTCCCTGGTGGGCACTCTGGCCAACACCAGGGAAACTCTATTGCCCCCCTCCCGGTCCCGAACTCCTTAAAGGGGCACGGACTGGCTACAATGCCCATGTCAGGTGCAAGCCTGCCAGCACCCAGCTAGCAGACCCTGCACCTGGCACGGCTCCAGCCAGCCACCCGATGCCCCCCAGCCCTCCCCCTCTTCCCGGGAGCAGGCTGGCGGCTCCCAGGAGCTTGCCCGGGACCGCAAGAGGCGGGCACCCACCTGGTCTAGTGCAGACATCGTGGACCTCGTCCACGACCTCTGCACTAGGCACAGGAAAGTGGCCGGCTAGGGCAGGAGAGCTGCCAGCCTGGCCACCCAGGAGCAAGTGTGCATGAAAATCAAGGTGGTCCACTGAGACCCCCGACCCTGAGCTTACAATGGCCGTCCTGGGTCAGACCAAAGGTCCATCTAGCCCAGTAGCCTGTCTGCCGACAGCGGCCAACCCTAGGGACCCTGGAGGGGATGGACCGAAGACAGTGCCCAAGCCATTTGTCTCGTGCCATCCCTCTCCAGCCTTCCACAAACCTTGGGCAGGGACACCACTCCTACCCCCTGGCTAATAGCACTCCATGGACCCAACGTCCATGACTTGATCTCACTTCCCTTTCAACTCTGTTCCAGTTCTAGCCTTCACAGCCTCCTGCAGCAAGGAGTTCCACAGGTTAACTCTTTGCTTTGTGAAGAACAACTTTCTGTTACTACTTTGAAGCCTGCTACCCATTCCTTTCCTTTGGTGTCCTCTAGTCCTTCTATTATGGGAACTAATGAAGAACTTTTCTTGATGCACCCTCTCCACCCCACTCATGCTTTTATAGACCTCTATCCTATCCCCCCTCAGTCTCCTCTTTTCTAAACTGAAAAGTCCCAGTCTCTTTAGCCTCTCTTTATATGGGACCTCTTCCAAACCTCTGATCATTTTAGTTGCCCTCCCCTCTCCCACCTCCTTTTCCCAGTCTCCCCGAGTTTTGTTCAATAAAGAGAGATTCTATTTTTGACCACACGTTTTCTTTATTTTGTACATCAGGAAGGGGGGCTAGGGAAGGGTAAGTGGAAGGAGGTGAGGGAGGAATGGGGGACAAGCCCCCGATGGGGAGGACTGGGCTGGCTCTGTGGGCTTTTGGGGGTGAAAGCGCTCCTGCAGCCCCCCAATTGCCCCTTCTCCCCAGATGGCAGCCTGCGGCAAGTGCAGCCGGGCTGATGGCCGAGTGCTGCGATGTGCCCAGTGTGGGCCCTCAGGGCACTCCAAGTCAGGACTGCTTTGCAAGCGGGGAACCCGAGAACTGTCTGTCCGGGGGGGGGGTCGGGTCCCTTTAAGCACAGCCCTCGGCTAGCCTGAGGCAGCATCTCCACGCTCTAAGTCCTCATCTGATGCCCTGCCGGCACTGCTTCTGGCCATCCTTAACCCCGGTTCAGGGTCCACTTAATGTTGACATGCTAGTTCGAATTAGCGCTGTAGTGTAGACATACCCTCATTTTTAAAAATAACTTATGTTGGTTTTATCTGATTAATGTGGCTGTAAAAATCCTTAGATTTTTTTTTTAAATTAATTTTGAATTTTCAGTGTAATGGTCAACCACAATGGTCTATTGCAGAGAGAGAAGGAAAAGCTTACCCTTTTCATCCATTTTGGCACATTCAGCGAAGAGGTCTTTTGAACCTGTATTCAGCCTATCTCGATGGAAGTAGTGAGACTGGAAAAACCGTGTCCAGAATTCTTTTTCTGTCATATTATGTGGAACGTTTTCTGCATATTTCACTTTTACTGCAAACAAACCAATGTGTTTATAAGATATTTTGCAATTCAAAATAATGTACTACCTATCAGTATGAGATGGCAAATGACCTAAGCTTATGCTGAATTCCGCATAAAACACACACATCTTACTAAAAACACATGGAGTTTGGATTTTAAAAAGAGATGGCAATTTATGCAACAAATATAAGCTGCATCATGCCCAACAATACTGACGACGTTTTGGAAAGAAATATCAATAGCTTATAAACTTAAAAATGTAATAGCCAGGCACATCCTGAAAACTTCAAATGCCAAAAGTCTAGCAGTTTAAGAAGAATCCTTCCATATTGTTCCCAAGATGGACTGGTTCTTTTTCAAGCAAGAGTGACCAAACTAATTTCAGTATTAGGGTCCAATCTAGCATTTTAAAAATCAGAGAATTTACCAACAACTTCTCATTAGAAAAATTTAAAATAGTTAAAATGAATCCTTCAAATAGAGCATGACACTTGGGCAAAAACATTTTCTCATGGTTTAAAAGCAAAGCAAACTCAATAATTCAAGAGTCTCAGGCTCAAGCATTAAAATATATCTCTAGAATCTATAAAAAATATTGAAATAAGGAATTAAGACTGCATAATAAGCACAGACAATGGTAGGAAGGAATGTTAAATGTATAGGGCTTCTTTATCAACAGAAACAAGCGTAGGACTAATCCTCTAGTTTTCTAATGATAAAACTTACTAAAATCAACTTAGACAGCTTAGTATCGCATATGTATTGATTTTTCTACCTACCTGCAGGATATGTCCTGAATATGGATTCAATAATATCTGAAGTTAAGTTATACCTCAGACCATTGCAGCCATCTGTTTGAGGCCGAACATCAGCCTATGGGAACAACAACATAAGAAGACTGTTATTGAAGCACGTAAAACCTTATTACGGGACAAGTTAAAACTGAAGTGTGAACCCATACTTAAGGTAGCAGAGCAGATAGAGGATTCAGGGTTGTTTTTGAAGTGAGCTTTGATTGTCTTTTAAAAACACTAATTTACTTACTTACAGCAAATGTTTTTTCTACTACAAAAGTATCTTTTCAGGTTGGAAGAATGATTTATCAATAAATATTAAAAGTACTGAAAACATAGATTTCTTGGCTAAGACAAGAATAAGGGAAGGGTGAATGATAGATAGCCCGTGAGTATCGATAGGGTAGCAAAAGGACAGAGGAACTATTATACAAGTACTAAGAGAATGAAATTGAAGGGGAAAATGTAGGCTGGTTATTAGGAAAACCTTTATATTCCACTATTCTTCTCCACTGAGATGTGGAATAGGAAATAGGAAGTTTCTTCCATTCTGATGGCATTTAAATAGATGACACAAAACTTTTTAGGGTGTATAGACAGAGACAAATCCTACACTGACAAGGAGATTGACTGAATGGCTTATCTTTCCATAGTCTCAGAAGTTAACAGATACTCTTGTTTCGAAGTATGAAATTTTACTTAAATGTAATTCAGATAAGGGCCTTTTTTTAAAAATTGCATTAGGTAGAAAAAGATTTCAAAGCAATTGTATTGGAGGTAAAATTTAAATTCATTCACAGAAAATCCAGCCAACATATGAAGGATTCCTAAAATGGTTTCAAACATACCAGAAAAGCTGCAGAGATGCCCACATCCTGCTTATTAGGCGCTGTAGAACTATCCACAGTATTCATGCTTAAACGGTTGGCCCAGAATTCTTCAGCACTAATTACTTGGCTCACAACGAGGTCTTTATAAAGCTGAAACAAAACAGGATCTTCTTGCAGCATTCTAGTAAAAGAATGTATTGAATAAAATTGAAACATTCCACACTAATTCACCGGGGTTTCCATGTCAATAAGCCCTATGAGTTCATGAAGGGAACAGATCACAGGGAGGTAAGAAACACACAGCATTGACAAAGAAAAGTTATACAGCCTCTCCCCGACTTAAGAACCGGTTACGGACCAAGCAATTGGTCCGTAACGCCGTTTGTTTGTAAGTTGGACCCCACAGAGTTACACGCAACCATGCTGTTCGTAAGCGCGGATCACGTTCGTATCTCGGGGTCTGCCATTTACGACAGCTTCGGTCATAAATGTGAATGGTCGTAAGTCGACCGTTCGCAACTCGGGGACCGGTTTTAGTTAATTGTGAGATATTGAGACCAATATTACTATTCATCTTGGCCAAAGGGGAGAGACTAAGGGTTTTTCTGTACGGGGGACAATTTGGAAAGTAAAGACAAATCAACTTATGGTATAACATTAACAAGCATTAGTTTAAAATACATTAAACCCCTCTGAGTGGTTACTCATTTAAAATTAAAATGGCCTTTGGCTTGATCCTCACTTAAACCCAGGTTTAATGTGCTTTAATATATACACCTTTAGTTAATTTCACACCTTTCGTTCATTTCTCTTAACTTTCCTGAGTGTCTTTATGTAGACAAGCCCTAAACAGAAATAAAGCTGCTGGATGAGGAATAATTTTAGTGGGGGAAAAATGATGATCCCTAGAAAGAAGTTAATATGAAATAATGAGTTGTCCTGTGACATCTTAGAGATTAACAGGTTTATTGGGGCATAAGCTTTTATGACTAAAACTCGCTTCATCAGATGAGTTGAAGAAGCAATTACAGAGGCAGGTGTGTGTATGTATCTATAAAAAGTACAACAAAAGAAAGACATTATTTGTCAAGTATAGGACTGGTGTTAATGAGGCTAATCAAGTCAGGGTGGATGTGGCTCATTCACAGCAGTTGATGGGGAGATGTGAATATCAAGAAAAGGGAAATTGCCTTCGTAGTGCATTAACCAGTTTAAATCTTTCTTCAGTCCCTAATTTAATTGTATTGAATTTGCAAATGAATTGCAGTTCAGCTATTTTCCTTTGTAATTGGGCTTTGAAGACTTTTTAATAGAAGGATGGCTATTTTAAAATCCATTACTGAGTGTCCAAGGAGATTAAAGTGTTCTACAAGTTTATGTATACCTTTCTTGATGCTTGATTTGTGTCCATGTAACCTTTAGCACAGAGACTATTCAGTTTGGCCAATATAGTAGAGTGGCATTGCTTGCATTTATCACATTAGTGGACGTGCAGGTGGATGAGCCAGCAATGGGATTTGTTGCAGGAATAGGTTCCTGGGTAAGTGTATCTGGTGTGTGGCTGCTGGTGAGTATTTGCTTCAGGATGGGGGCTGTCCGAAGGTGAAGACTGGCCTGACTAAGGTCTGTAACAATGAGGGATTGTTTTCCAGGATAGGTATAGTTTGTCAATGGTGATCCTCAAAGGATTTTAGCTGGTGGCTGTAGGTGATAACCAGTAGAGGTCTGTTTTCCTCATTGGGCCTAACCACGAAGTGAGTGACTTTTGGGTACTTGTGTGGCTCTGTCAATCTGTTTCTTCACTTCCCCAGGTGGACATTTAAGTTTTAAGAATGCTTGATAAAGATCTTATAGGTGTCTGTGTCTGAGAGATTTAAGAAGATATGGTTGTATCTTAGGGCTTGGCAGTAGACAAGGGATCGTGTGATATATACTGGCTGGAAGCTAGAGAAACGTAGGTAAGACTAACGGTCAGTAGGTTTCTGGTACAGTGTGGTGTTTGTGACCATCATTTATTTGTACTGTTGTGTCCAGGAAGTGGATCTCTTATGTGGACTGGTCGAGGCTGAGATTAATAGGGGGGTGGAAATTGTTAAAATCCCAGTGGAACTCAAGAATCTCTTTCCTGTGGGTCCACATGATGATGTCATCAATGTAGAGCAAGTAGAGGAAGGGTGCTGGGGGATGGGAGCCAAGGAAATGTTCTAGGTCAGCCATAAAAATGTTGGCATATTATGGGGCCATGTGGATTCCCACAGCAGTGGCACTGACTTGAAGGCATAAATCGTCCCCAAATTGGAAATAGTTGTGGGTGACGACAAAATCACATAGCCCAGCCATCAGGTGTGCCGTAGCATCTAGAGGATAGTGTAATTTGAAAGCTGTTGTCAGTATATAGTCACTCTTGAGGGCCATGTGACTGAGATTGGAGTCAGTCTTTTGGACAGCACTGCCCAGTGGGGATGCACATGTTCCTTCAGTATTCTCATCTACCTGTTCCAAGCTCAAAAAGGGCAGAGCATGCCCAACTGCCACTGCGTCCGTGACTATCACAGAATCCAGAAGTTCTAGGACTCCACAGTAGCATGGAAGAAGGATGGGTCATGGAATATACATGAAAAACAAATTTCAAATAACTTTTTTTTATTTCAAGTGGTGGTCATTACTCTTGGGGATTTTTAAGCAGTGACCTGATGCAATTAGATGAGTGCTTAGAGTTTACTTAAATTGCAGCACAGAATCAGACCTCAATATTTCTATCAGGGAATAAGATTGCTAGGGTATGGCTGAAGCACACAACCACTTTTCAGGGGGTCTGAAATAGGCATGCTTTGCTAGGAAGCTCCTGTGTATCTAAACTAGCTAATTTGTAGCAAATTTTAATACCGGCTGAAATATACATGGATAGCCTCTGGGCTATTCTGCTTGACCTTTCATTCTCTCAGCAAATGCTGTAAATTGATTCAGAGAGGTATTGAAGGATTTGCAAATAAATGGATAGAGCAGGGGTGGGGAGCCTTTTTTGGGGGTCAAGGGTCACTGACCCACAGAAAAATCAGCCAGGCGCTACATACAATTGAGGAAAGAAGAAGAAGAAAAAAAAAGTATTCCCAGCTGAGAAACATTCACCTCAAACTCCACCCCAAAGGCAGGGGAGTGCGAGTAATCCAAGCAAACCACTGGCCAGAGGCTGTAGGTTCCCCACCCGATTTAAGGTTTGCAGCCTCCTCTCCCCTCGATTAATGTGTGACTTAGGGAAGAATATTGGTAAGTGAATCATTTGGGCAAGAAACTGGGATGGCAGATAATACCTTATCTCTAACAAATACGGTATATGAAGGTCCTGTCATAAGAGCCTACGTTGCCCCAACTCTAAATAGCTGGTGTAATTGCTATGAAAAAGGATGTTTTCATAGTTAAGTCACACAGTGG